TCGTCTATCGAAGGATCAGCATCAAAGTCAGCCGTGAAATTCAACGCTGTATCGCTTTACCAACAGTTAAATAATTTCAACAGAGCCAAGTTCTCTCTCGTCGAAAAAATACCAAATTCTGTAAGTCTCTCTTCATGCCTATTTTACTATATGATGCATATGATTCGCCACTGACAACATCCGATTAGCAGTGCCAAGAAATTCCATAGAGAAAGAGCTTGCGGAAGATTTATGGACTTTTGCGCATTGGCCATGGCGAATTAAGAGTAGCCGGCTGCGCTGGCTGCATAAGAGCACTTGAGCTTTGAAAGTTTTCGACACAGTACACTCCGGAATAGGAGTGTCTCCACCCTACTCTAAAACTTATGTAAAGAAGGTCCTGGTACCTCGATCGATCTGGTTGCGAGTATTTCGATTCGAAGCTAGCGAAACTTGAAGAATTTTTTGGCGCCAAGCCATTCAAGTTCAATTGATTACTGGATATTTCGTCATGTAGACTGCGCCGATATTTGCGCGAAGATATCTTCCTTGCCTAACCAGCTGTTGGAGTCGTCAAGCGTAATCATCGCAGCGGTGGCTGAGTACATTCTAGGCATTCATAAAAACCATCTTCCAAATAAAACGACCGGACATTCCAGCTGCATGCATTTAAATCATAGTCACAAATGCGTTTGCAGTGGCTTTGATTTAAAGTGACTGGCATAACTCTGGGCATCATTAGGTATTTTATTGTAGCTGGTTTCTACGAAGCTGGTTGCAAACCAACTGTTCAACCTAGGATTGGACTTCACATTCTTTTATGTAGCGATTTATTGGTTAGATTTTAGCTGGACCATAAGCTGAATATACCGATTAGTCGTGATCCAAGGCTCCACACGGATTGATTACTGAAACTTGATTAAGGGTTGCTCAGGACTGCAGTGTGCCCGACGTCGAAGCAAAGTACTATATACCCAGAAGCAAGACTACACCTACAGATTAAGTTAGTTTAGTCTTATATTTTTCCAATTAAAAACTAGAAAATAAAGCTCAAAGTGTATAAGTTGCGTCATTGTAAACTGGTTCTATTCTATCTTAACGATCACATAGTATTATCAGACGGCTTTCATTCTCCATCTCACATGAATTTTTCATAATTTGAAACCTTCTATTTATGGTCAATGAAATACTAGAATTTTTATGAAATTTAGAGAATTTCTTGTTGAATAAAATTCTTCCATTTTCATTTCTACGATTTTATTGTGTTGAACGCAACTCAAGAGTCGTGTATTGCCATATCCATGTAACCATAATATTGTCTCGAGCGTAACTGTCAGACTCAATTTATCCTCATTTTTATTCACTTTGTATACATATTTATATAATATATGGATTTCTTTATGAAAGCATTTCATGAGCCCTAATCAATATGCATTGTGGTTAATCGAATATTTTTTTTTTTTTTTTTTTTTTGAAAAATGAAAGTTTTGTAAACTGTGATATGAAATAATAACAATTTATTAAAAAACGGTTAAAGAAAAGAAAATTCATGCGAAACTTAAGATAAATAAATGAACTTATATATAACATAATATTAAAGAATTTAATGGTATATAAGAGTAATATGTAGTAAATAAAAAATTGTAACGCAAGAAAATGCGAAAAAAAATATTTTTATTTTATATTTTTGTTCGAGTTGCTGATTACCATTAAAATAATAATTTGCGATTTCTTAATTTTAAAAGTTAACTAACAGACCCGACCACACATCGCTGTGGCTTTCCTGTAAAGAAAGTATTATTTATATTTCGAGAAAATTAATTTTGGTCTCTGGTCCTGGTCTGCGGTCTGTTATCAGTCAACAAAAGCTTTCCTTTTAGGCATCTCATGAAAATGCATATTTTTTCAAATATATCTATCCACTTCTGGTCAATCGAATCGAAGCGAATTCTACGGAGTGGTAACCTGAGTTTTGGAAATAAAATATATCGCATGGGACCAATGATCGACGGTATTGAATGAGTTTTTGGTCTTAAAATCGTTCACAACTACAGCTCGGTGCGATGGCGAATTATCATCATGAAAGTTTTCGGAAAATGTTTTCGCATAACTCCGGCCGTTTGCGACGGATGTTTTCGCGTAAACGCCTCAAAACCCCGAAATAATACCCGTTATTGACCGTCTGCCTCGTTGAAACGAGTTCATGATGGACCAAACCACGAATATCGAAAAAAAAATTCCGGAAACTTTCTGATCTTAATGTAAAATTTGTTCACTTAGTTCGGTGCCTGTTCCACTACCCCGACAATAGATTAGTCTTTCTGTCATTATCACTTTTAAATAAGTCGAGTCCTAAATAATATTTGGGTTTTGGATCAAATGTTATATAGACATTATATACTATACATCTTATTATTATATATATAAAGTTTAATTCAATGATTCGTTCACACTAGTCTTTCCTCTCCTCTCTTTATATTCAGGTAGTGTGACCAGGTTCCAGGCACCACAGCCAGCCAACAGTGTTCAACTATGTAAATACAATGTAAAAATGGTGGCCAATTTAATATACATAAAACAATTGCCTCAACACTGGGTAGGAGATTTTAGTTCAAAATGCAGACAACGCACTCCCAAAGGACTTGCAGGCATTTATGGGCTATGCAACAAAAGTTGAAGTTCAAACATTCACTATGTATGCATGTATGTGTCCTTCTGCGCAAGGATTACTAAAACTTTTTACATATTTACTTTGTCGCTATTGCCAAGCAGGCAGCAACGGCATCTGATACTGTTAGAGAGCTTCTACTAGTACGTTAACAACATGAGTTCACACGTCAAAGTGTTTTGACTTTTCAAATTTTAGGCGTTAGTAGACACATACATAAATATATGTACTTAATATATACTTTTATAAGTACACTATTTACAATTGTAAGTGTGTAAGTGTTGTTGGTGCGTTAAATTTCTGCTGAAAGGCACAACACTTTAGCATCCTTTGTAAAATGATTTTGGGAGGTTCTCTTCCAGCTTATTTAGTTTCAATTAGAAAGCTTGTTTTTAAACTTTGTCTCAGTTTGGCGATCTCAGTATGTAAGTATGTATGTATGTATGTACTCGTAAACAAGGGAATTTGTTAGTTTGCGATAAACATGTGCCGATAATGTAAAACTAATTGGTTGAGGTGTAGAAATTTTACTTAGTTTAAAAACGTATAGAAAGAAAGTTTTCTTTATATGGGAGAAGATTAATTGAAGGACGGGGTCAAATGCATAAGTTCACGTTGGAAGTCGAGCTAAAGTAGGAAAAGACTCTCGCTGCTATATAAAAAATGTACTCCAATGACAAATGTAAATAAACTTCGGATGATCATGTGCGCCGTAAACGTTTTAAGGTTCTCTCGTGTTAGACAAAAATCATGATCATAATATAAATATTTGGATTTTTCATAATCGTTCTCAGCTCCTATCCCTTGAATTCACACACTTTTGCAAATTTTCATCCAAACTCTGACGAGTGGCAGCGACGTTGTATATGCTACTTCAGTTTAGGTAGAGATTTGTGTTCTTTCTTTGACAGCGATATAATTTCAGTTGTATCAACTTTACTTTCCAATAACGAAGATGCCACAACAAACGACTGATGCGCTTGATTTAAGAAAATCGCAATATTTCTCAATGTTTCAATGATTCGATATTTAAATGGTCTTTAATCAACCGAGAATATATTTATTTTACAAAAATAACTTTGTTTCGAATTTAAGTCAGTTACAGAAAAGTCCAAGAGCGTTCACAAATTAAGTGCTTGGATGTAATGTATTATAAATGAAAGCTTCAAAACAGTTACTTCACTATCCATACAAAATCTAATCGAATATTCAGTGAGAAATACAATATGATGTTTTTTAAATCTACACGTGCGTTTGAAACAAAAAACACTATTAATTTATAACATATTATTTATTTATTTATACAATATATATATAATATATTTTCTTTTACTGACTGCACACTAAAATATGTGTTAGTTAATAGTTATTCATTAATCAGAATAAAAATATCAACTTAATCTCGGTAATCAATCCGTCCTTATCGCAGCAATAAAAGGCACAAAACAAGTCAATACCGCAAAATTTTTGACTTTTTATCAAACTCATTAAGATCGATGAAGACATCTACGAGTGCAAAAGTTTCTCACGATACGTAAGAATTATTGCTTCCCAAAGATAACGTTTTTGATCGGTTTCTTTGCCAACTGAAAAATAAATATTTTACATAACATATTTAAAGTCATATTTTATTTTTTTTTATTTTTTTTAATTTAATTTTATTTTATTTTATTTTATTTTATTTATTTAAATTAATTTTCATTATTTTAATTATACTTTATTTTTTATTTTTTTATTATTAATGTCTTTCATATTTTTATATATTTTTAAATTTGTTTAATTTTTTGTACTTTTTTCGTTCTATTTTATTTTTTTCTTCTTATCGTTTATTTTATTTATTTTTTTTATATTGTTTTTTTATTCTTTTATTTATTTATTTTGTTTTTTATTATTTATTTTATTTGTTTTTTTATTGTATTCTTTTTTGGATTACATAAATGGGAAATGTTGTTTAAAGCAATCGTGCTTACAACTAGATATACAAAACTATTGATAAATTTTTTTTATAAATTATTTACAGATGTCTACATTTCAATATTAAAAAACGAACGAACAATTGATGCTGTTTATAATATTACTGATTTTCGTATACTCAAACAATTTTCAATGAGTTGGAGCTGGTTCAGCATATTCAGCAATGCTTTGGGAACAACTCCTGTCGACGAAATAATAATCGGTACAACTACAACTTTGTCAAAGTGCTTTACTTCTGCTTTACTTCTACCGCCAGCTGCTGATATTTCTTGATCTTTTGGCCATGGCATTCTTGAAGATTTTGAGAATTAGGTATGCCGACATAAATAAGAAGAGCCTTTCCTTTTCCTTTCTTACATCAAGAATAATATCTGGTATGTTATGCTGAACCCTCATATCTGTAATTTGTTTATATTTGATTTAAATTTTATTCATTCTCTTTGGTTATACCAAATATTATTTTTTATTTTTTATATTTTAAAGTTTATTTCATTTCACTTTATATTATTTTGTTTTATTGTATTTGTTATTATTTAATTTAATTTAATTTTTTATTTTAAGGTAATTAAAGTGCATGTTACTTACCGATTTTTAAGCAGCGTCAATACTCTCCGTTTTAATACAAGTACAATAAATAATATTATACCCTGTGATGCGTTAAATGTGTTAAAAATGATTTTAATTACCGAAGCTTCTTTTGGATATAAGTACATAAATACTTCAAAAATCCACGATACTCCCATTACCAGGAATAAACGGCAAAATGTTGAGAATCTGTAAATAAACAAAATGTTTTATAAAAGAATTAGTTAAGACATAAACAATAATAAACGTATACAATAGTGGAAGCTTTTTTCATCTTGTCAAATTCGAAGTTAAAATTAAGAGATATAAAGTGTTTCTTAAACCAAAATGGAAAAATCTTCATGTTATCAGATTAGTCAACTTGCTTTTTCTCTTATACTTCTAAAGAGTAGCATATGCACAATGGTGAAAATAAAAACAAATTTAATTTAATTTACATACTGATCCCATCCAGTTACTTCCAATCAACTTACTTATACTGTTGACTATTTTCCTTTTGCAGTTCGTATGAGTCTCCCTTGATTTGGTACAGATTAATGACGCTCAATGCGAAAAATAAAAAGTTTGCAAAATTTAACAACCCGCTGGGGCCTTGGAAGTATAGCATTGCTGACCAATCTCGTGCTAAAAAAAAAAAAAAAAAAAAAAAAAAAACAATAAAAATTCGCTAAAAATGTTAAAGAGAGATTTGCAAATTTCTTACATTTTAAGAAACATTGGCCATTACCAAATCCCGGCTTCCAGGCATCAATAACATCCGTAGCAAATTCTATAATTACGGCGACAAGGGTAAAAATCACTGCTGCCGACCAAACATAAATTGAATAGGAAATGAAACGCGATTTCGGGCTGCCTAAATGTAGATTGTACCTTATGCCACGTATGCTGAACCACAGATCGAAACAAGTGATATTTAACCAGAAGAAAGCAGAAATCATAAAGAAATAGCACAGTACGCCTAAAAGAATTATTCTTGAAAATTTTAAAATATTTATGTTTGTATATGTTTTTTACGCATACCCATCGTTATACAGACTTCGAGGGGATATTTGAACCATAACATCGAAGACAGTATGAAACTACCGCAAGCGAATGTACCCAGAAAACAGACCAAGCAGCTATTGTGTAGACATCTCAATTGGGGCACATAGAGGTAAACCCAAATTGTGGCGAAAAGAAAAGGCGCCGAAATGGTTAATACTGAAAATTTATAGAAAAATGTCTACATATTTCATGAGATTCACACGATGTCACGACGTTTTGAAACTTACGTGCCATGTATATATAAGTTGAGACAGGAATTGCATTGTAACATTGTATTGGACTCAAAGATAGAGAGGTTTCATTTTGCCAGTAGGGTGTGAGACAAAAATCACGATGTGAAATGTATTTTTCCATAGCTACATGATATAGTACGGCATCCTATGGATGAATAATTCATTTATTATATTCATTTTGATTTTTTTTGATTTCTAAAATTCTTACCTCATATAAAATATTGAAATCATTGTCTAAACTTGCATCCAAGATTTTGAAATCTTCACAAGGCATACGCTGCTGGGGTATGTATTTCTCGAACACATCGCTAACACTCCGTGTGAGATTTTCCGTATAAGTGTCGATTTTTGGATATTCCATGAGCTTACGTTTAACACATGTCTTCAATGTTTCATCCAGTCGCTCCTCAGGTGCGCAGCAAAGTTGAATGCATTGCTTCAATTTGCAGGCGCATCCCCTGACATGCGACGGCACAGGAATCCTCGTACCATCACCAAGCTCCTCATATGTGTATGTGGCTGTCATATTTACTGGAATCCATACGCCATCATATTCGTAAGAGCCATCGATATATGGTTGAATGTCAATTAGGCTAACGGTGTCTTGGAAAGCACAATTCGGTATATCCGACGCCAATAACGGGTGGATTAGTTGACTCAAGAGGATGGTGAATAATATCTTGTTAACCAATATATAAAACATTTTTACTGTTTAAGTATTTTTCTCATATAGAGCAAGTATGCCCCAACGTGTGTATATATGTACATATAATATGTATCTATATATAATATATACAAGTATTTACAAAATCCACTTTTTACACTTTTCAAATGCAATCCAACTAAAATTCTTTTAACACTTAATTCATAACGAACTTTTCTCCATCAAAGCTTTCTTGAAACTGTTCAAGCCATTAGAGCTGCTCAGGGCGTTTTGTAATAAAAATTCAGACCACGTTATCAATCCACATAATTCTAAATATACAAACCGCATGAAATTCTGTGTAAAACATTCGTTTATGAGTACTAAATATTGAATGTGATTCATATCACATCCATTAGCAGTTGACTTCAACTTTATTTTTCAATTTGATAAATTCTACACAGCAATCACTTTAACAAAAATGAATCTAAATACAAAACATATATGAAATATTTAAACAAAATAAAATATGCCAAAATACTATACATAAAAAAATATTTAAATCAACTTTAAAAAAATAAGATAATATAATACAAAATAAAAGCAAATTAAAGGAATCATCAAAAAAAAGCAAGGTAAAGTAAAAGCAGAATAAAGGCAAGGAACTTTGAAAAAATAAAATAAAATAAAAAGTAAGTTAAAAGAATTTAAGTTAAATCATTTAAAAAAAATTAATTAAAGTTAATGTTATATTTAACGGGTACACCTAGTGTTTTATCCGAAAAAGGTGATTTTTCGGAATTTAAAAAAAAAAAACTATCAATTATTTCAAAATTTTAGTAATATATAGCGAAATTTTTGAAGAGAAAAATTAAATATTTTTTAAGTTATAGTTGATCTCCAACGGCGCTAAAAAAGGTCCTTCACTGCTGCAGTGATTCCGGCCTTCTCCGTGAATGAAATCTAAAAAAATTAAAAATTAAAATTCTCTACTAGATAATATTGTCTGTACAATGGTCTACGATAAAAAAATCAAAATTTGACAAAACGGCTGCGTTTAAAAAAAATTGTCAAATTTTACACAAAATTTTGGTCGTTTTTGGCCTGCCAAAATTCGATTTTTTGATCAGATCAGATCATTGTACGGAGAAATATATATAGAATATGTACAAAAAATTTGATAGTGATCGGATCATTTGTTTTTGAGTAATCACTATAGCAAATTGGGATAATGCTGTTTCGAGAAAAACGAGTTTAAAGATAATATGATCGTTTTCACTCGTAGCTAATGAGACTCTCTAGAATAAATACCCTTTTTATGAAAGTTTCCAACACTAAATCGCAAAGCGGACTCCGTGCGCCCTCAATAGCCTCACGAATTCTATTATTTTCGAGGTCTTGGCTCGACGTCGCACTGTAGGTGTAGACCTTATCTTTCAAGTAGCCCCTATAGTGTTAAATCACAACATCTCGGTGACCGATTCCGATCACCTTTTTCCCTAAAAATTCGATGATTTCGTAAACGAAAAAAAAAATTTAAGACAAATAAAATTAATATATTCGAAATAATAATTAAAAAAAATTAAAAAATTAAAAAATTAAAAGTCAAATAGATTAAAGTATAATTAAAATAAATAATAATGTAATAAGTTGAATTAAAATAAACCTTAGATTAAAAAAATAAAAATAAATATAATAAAGTATGATAATAATAATAATAATATTAATAATAATAATAATAACAATAATAATAATAATAACAATAATAATAATAATAATAATAATAATAATAATAATAATAATAATAATAATAATAATATTAATAATAATTATAATAATAATAACGATAATGATAATATTATTATAAATAATAATAATAATATTCATAATATATACATTGAAATAAAACCAAATTATAAAAAAATATAACCAAGTAAAATAATATTAAAGAAAATTAAAAAAACAAATTAAAATAAAAAAAGGAAAAAGAAACTTAGCAAAATTTAAGTTTGCAAAATAACAGGTAATGAGAAGAAAGATTAAAATAAAATTAGACGGCCTAAAATTGAAAAAAAAACAATAAAACAAAACACAGAATGATCAAAAACAAATTAAATATAAAATAAAGTTTAAAATGGCTCTTCTCCCAAAAACCGGATGCTGTTGAAGATATACATACATACTCGTATATATAAATTCATATTCACTCATTTCAGTTTCATTTTTGTATTTAATCTCCCTGCTTGTTGGCAATTCATTAATATTTTGTACACAATTCAAAAGCTGTCAACATATGTAATACACATATGCTACTACTTGTACTACATATCTACTTATACATACGGACGTAATGCCGGATACACGCACCTTTTTGATATCGTGACAGGATTTCACGCCTCAAAATCCATTGTCGACCAAACACAAAACATGAATGTCAACCAATTTCGTTAAAAAATTTGCCAACACACAAAGCCAAGCCAAATAGCGATTGCCGTAGAAAGACCATTGCGTAAGGAGAATGATAGGAATAAATGTAAAATTGCCATTTGCCATTGGCAATTGTGTTGGGCTAAAATAGCATAACGGCTGAAAAAGTCAAAAGTCTCCGATACTTAATCCAATTTAAGAGGTCGTTCCAAACGCTTTTCAATATATTATACATATTTGTCGGTGGCCATTCATGTCCTTCAGTCGTGAACTGCTACTCTTGTTGAGCTGCTGCTGAATCGGATAACGGAAGATTCTTTCTAATGCGTCGTAAAGGTGTGATGGTCTTAAGCTGCTTGAGCACACAACACAAAAGTGGAGTTACAATGACCGTCAAGCGACCAAATGACTAGACTTTTTCTTCTATACTTACGTACATCTGTATATAATGCTTTTTTTTTTTGGCTCAGTGCATGTTATATAGTCCTTGTTGAGTGGATGTTTGCAACAATAAACTAATAAAAATGTCAAAACGCATCAAAAAGTGTGCAAAGATTACAGCTTAAGATTTTTCACTTTCACATTCGTATGTGTGTATGTATGTGCATGCGTGGAGGTCCCTTATATAGGATATCGCACATAGAAGTGAAAACGAAATTGGCAAGACATAAAGCGAAAAAAAAGTAAAATAGAAAATGATCCGCAACGGCGTGTGTGTTGCACATACATACATACATACACATGCACGTGGGTATAGATGTATGAGTGTGGCTCTATTGCCTGCAATAATATAATATTAATATAATAGAGGGTTGCCCATACATGTTGTTGTTCACGCAAATACATACTCATACATACATACATATTTATCGATATGCACATCCACATGAGATATTTACTTACCTTCGCTTGTTCGGCATGTGCTGCTTGTGCTTAAAAATATATTTCATATACATACTTACATACATATGTATATCGAAATCACATCAGAATCGTAACGCTTCACGCTTTCGCTTTTTGCAATTCATCGCTATTAAATTCGACAAAAGTCATATTTTTCGTGCCTCCATCCATATGAAATCCTATTAAAAAACATGCGTTGCCTTTACTATTATGTTTTGAAAACATTAGGTGTATATGTATGTACGAGTATGTATGTATGGGCTCACACACTATGCACGTTTGGGTATATATGTATTTACGTGTTTCGGTTGAGCGCAGGACATTGTCAATATCACCATGTATGAATACGCAATAACAGTAGTCGAATATATTTTATCACTTATACATGTACATAAGTACGTAAATATGTATCACACACGCTCGCGTTATTGGCGCTGATGCGGCACGCACGTGCGCTTCGTTCCTTCTGAGCAATTCATTCCGATTGGAAATAACACTTTTCAGAGGTATAAAGAACAGGATATGTCACTAAGTATATTGACATACATACATATGCAGCGCTACAATAATTAATCCTGAGCTCCGTAACTGAAAGTATACTAATATTCCAGCTGTTTTCAGTGAGGCAGATGGGGTTATACTCCTTTAAAGTAACAACTTGGCGCTACGGATTCTTAACTTAAGCATTTTAATGAGTTATTAGGCACATACTTATTGATGAGCTCCCATAAATTTTCACTGCCGGTATTTACATAAAGCGAGAATGAGAAAAAATAAATTTCTGCGCAAAGCATGATACAAAAATTAGAGTTTCTTCTTCCTCTTCATTGGCGTTATAGCCGAATTAGCGCCATTCGGTGCTTAACTTCGTTGTTTGGCGCCAGTTGGAAAAACCAATTGAAACTAGATCGTTCTCTCTCTGATCCTTCCAAAGGTTTGGAGGCCTTCCACTTCGTCTCCTTACACCTTACTTACACCGGTACTGCATCGAATATTTTTAAAGCTAGAGCGCTTTCATTCATGCGGACGCCATAGCTTGGCCAATGCAGCCGCTGTCTCTTCATTCGTTGAACTATAACAATGTCACCTTATATTTCGTACAGCTCATTGTTCTATCGTCAGCGGTATACGACGTAGCGAATGCACAAAGAACCATAAATCGTTCGAAAAACTTTTCTTTCGAAGATTCACCTCATCGGTTGCCGACGTCGTACACGCCTCTGCCCATATACTCATAGTAGGGCGGTAATGATGAGCAACTCATAGAGTTTGGTTTCGGTTCGTCGACAGAAGACTTTACTTTTCAATTGTCAACTCAGTCCAAAGTATCATCTGATAGAAGACGAAATTATCTACGACTTCGAAAATATGACTGTCAATAGTAACGCGATATATATAATTGGTGCCTTGTAACCGCTAAAGCGATTTTCCGCCGAGCTTCTGCTCCAAATTGTAGTTTTTCGTTTTGATGTTTTGCCAACAAATGGAGGGACCTAAAGTTTATACTAAGCCGCCACCGAACGGCTGATGGATTTTTAATGAAGAGCTACGGACCCAATTTGGATGACAACCTCTCCATAAACATAACAATTTAGAGGCATGCAAATGAAATGTCTGGTCTCTGTTAATGAGGTCGTAGTTGGTTTGTGCCCTTATTAAAATTAAGGCTGACATGCCCGTCGATCAAGAAGCGCGATCCATGGAACAAAAACCGTGAACAGTGGTCCTAT